TGCTGCTACTAATATTGTTGCTGATGCTGCTGCTGGTGCTGATGCTGCTGCTGATGCCGCTGCTGATGCCACTACTAAACCACTATCTGCAAATGCTGTTGCTAATACTGTTGCTGCTGCTGTTGCTATTGCTGCTGGTGCTGCTGCATTATGCTGGTGCTGTTGTTTCTACCACTATCTGGTATTGCTGTTGCCATTGCTATTGTATTATTCTGTTACTGTTGTTGCTGCCACTATCTGCTGCTGCCACTATCGTTGTTGTTAAATATCTAACCTTGGTTGCATGCACAAGACTTCCATCAGCAAGAACGACATCAAACCCAACACAGATATGTTGAAACAGACCATATTTATGCGATGACGACTCAATACCACATCCCATTATGAGACCTCCTGAAGAAAAACATTCACAGGCATTTCAGATATATTTCCTTTACTTACCAAACCTATTTTGAAAAGCATCCTCGGTTGGTACTAACAATGTACACGAGCACAAATCTCTAGCACAAAACATTATGGGAAACTGAGTACTTAAAGCTTTTGAGCTCCTCTAAAAATCCCTCTGACAATTTGTCCTTCAACATTTTCTATGAACAGTGAGTATTTCGACAGACAAAAATAAGAGTATTTTCTTTCTGATAATTCTATTGATTTCCTTGCTCTGATATGTGTAGTACTCGGTTTCCTATCATGCTGTGTGCTAGAGATTCATGCTTGTGCACATTGCCTATTAACTGAACAAAAAAGTGTGCAAGGAATTGTGGTAGTAGAAGTCAATAGATCTTTTTCGAGATGCGCAAGTGCTGTCAAAAGACTTGAAAATATTTTCTGGCAAGAAAATCACAGAAAACACAGACGTTTATAGCTTTTGAATTATATTTTGAAATAAAGAGAAATAACGATGATGATGATGATGACGATGATGATGATAAGAACAACAATGATAAAACAGCTATAAATGACAAGCGAAGCTATTGCGAAGACCATTTAAGGCTTATGAACTCTGGTCATAATTCAACTCTGTGGTCAGTCAGTGCATCAAAAACACCACAACAGGTGTTGTCTGATCTACCAAGGGACTGTTCATTCAGGGTTCGTGCTGAGGTAACCACTTAAAATTCAAGGACTATTCGAGGAGCATACGAGGACCCAAAAATGAATTTATAAGGAGTATGTTCAGCTGACTATGCCAAGGTTTTACACGGTGGTTGCACATGGTCGACTTTCAGATTTTCTGATCTTTTTGACTAGATTTATTTCAGAACCATGCAAGTAATGATCGAAGCAAAAATTCAAGGAGTTTTCAAGGAGTTTCACTAAAATCGTAAAATTCAAGAGCTTTTCAAGTGCCCTTGAAAACGTGAATTAAATTCAAGGAGTTTTCAAGGAGTTTAAGGAATAGCACGAAGCTTGTTCATTAATTATGCCTCAGGGTGGACTGGAGGAAAAGTGGAAAAAAACCTTGGAAAAATTCACAACCCCCACAATCTAAAAAAAAATTTTTGACCCCCCCTCCTTGTGACCTTTTAGACATACCTTAATTATTTGTTTCAACCCCCCTTTAAGTCAGCAAATACTATTAAAGCCCCCACTTCTTTGTGTGATTTTTTTTCAAAGCCCCCCTACTTTTCCTCCAGCCCCCCCCCCTACCCCTCCAAGGCATAATTAATGAACAGTCCTGTTAAGCTAGAACCAGACAAAAAAATTTGTTCCCATATATAATCTTTACACCCACCTACAGTAAGATCATCTAATTCTGGTAAAACAGAAATCGTCCATCCAAGAGGAAGCAAAGTGGAACTCAACTGGCCCATCGTCACCAAAGGCTCCACCCTTACGACCCTACTTTTGGTATCAACTTCAAGAACATCCATTAAATTGATATCTATCCTCTCGTGTGTGGCTTTGTACTTCCCGACTCGTAAGCTTACTGTCATCCAACCTGGTCTAGCAGTGCACATAGGCCTCTGCTGGCCTTCTTCCTTCCATCTTTTGACCTGTTCTTGGACTTTTTTGACCCGCTGTTGGTGTCGTTGAGGGCTGCTATAGAGTTTGAAGGCCAACCAGTTTCTCATGTGCATAACTACCTCGTAAACCACAGAAAGAGGGAGCAAAAATAAACAAACGAATATCCAACGTTGTTGTATAATGATGTATTCTGCTCCTTTGATCCATACGTAGGCTATAGGAAAGGCGATCGCGGAGATTAGCGCTAAAATCGAGAAATATTGAACGGCCATTTTATTACGAAACGATCTTGCCTGGAAACGTGCGCGTTAATACCAGGCAATTAATATTACCGCAGGAAGCCCATACAAGCTTTGAGAACTGAATGTAAAAGTACCGATAGGGGAAGGGAAATGTTTTTTAAAAAATCGCTAAAATGGCTAAAAATCACTACTAAAGAACAAGGACGACGAAAACAACACTTCATGTGAGTAAATATTAGATTTTATTAATTTTTTTTGGTTAAAATTGCATTCAGTTCTCAAAGCTTGTATGGGCTTCCTTAGTCTCCCCCACTGAGCCGCCTTCAGTGTCGTCACGCAACGCTTTACTCAGGGGAGAAAGCGTTGCGTGACGACACTGAAAGCGGCTGTGGGGGAGACTAGGGCTTCCTGTGATATTACATTCCTGCATAGCCTAAGCTTGGTAACTGGTGGGGGGGAAAATCCTTAAAACGGGCTAAATTCAAAAAAATAACCACACAGAGCGAAAGAAGTGCTATTTCTCAATGATCGGGTAAATTTTCGAGGCTTTATTTCACGTTACGAKGATTTTATTGAAATTTTTGATGAATCCCCATACATTTCCTTATAACATGACATCACAGAAACCAAGCTTGGGTTACCTGTGGATTCACTGGTCAATAAACACGAAGCGCTCAAGCGAGGCGCCAAGGTACTTTCAAAGGATTATTCAAAATTTGAACCCTGCAACCTCGACTGAATGCTTTGTGTTTGACCAGTGAACCGATGTATGGAAAATGGTGAATAACAACAGGAAACCCGCAACTTAGTGGTTCAATATAGACGTATATTTGAACCAGCTTATTGAACCACGAAGTTGCGGGTTCCTTTGTTGTTCAACTGAGTGATTTACATACAAAATACCGATTTTTGAACTTGACATATTTGTAGAAATGGCGTAAACAGCTCTCCCATTTCTTCCTGGGCATCACCGCATTGGCTCTCAACTCCGTGACCGCAACGGAAAAGCGCCGCAAAAATGTTTATTGTACTTTATAAAGAAGAAATAACTAGGTAAAACTTAGTGTGACTTCTTTGTTTTCGGTCTTTCTTTGATAAACGGTAACAATGATTGTCGCAAGACCAAAGAAATGCGGCTTATTCACCTAATTGGACACTCTAGTCCCAACGGGATTAATGAACGCTTTGCTTTTAACTAACCAACTCTTCTGTCTTTTGATTGTTCGTTTCCTTGCCCACCTTGTTCTCATTGGTTTCTTTTGTCTTGTTCTCAGTATATTAACACTCCTTTCTACCACCTCTTTCTCTTTTACTCCGACGAAGGACTAGCGTCCAAAACATCAGTAAGTTTTTTCATATCTTTTCACAGTGTAAAATTTACCCTTTTGTCATTACTGTTTCGTTAGAAACACCGACGCAGCTCACACTAGTTTCTTATCTCTTCTTTGTAAAACAATAAGTTGAGTGGCCACAGTATCACAGCAACTACCAATGTAAAACGAAAGAAAAGGATATAATTACTTTAGTGTCTAATATATCAGAGTGCCTACCATAAATTATATTCGTAAGAAATTGCACATATTTGCACAAATTATTAAGTTCAGTAGACCTCAGTAGACCGCAGACCTACAAAATCTTGCATTGTCAATGAATTCCTTTGTTATATCCTCCAACATGGCCGCCGTGTCTTTTGTTATTTAATTCTCTTGCGAATGATTGAAAACCAGCAATATGCTAGACCGATTTTACTTAGTAATTGCCCGCTAAAACCATAGGAGTGCCACCGCATAGAGGGCATACTCGTATATTCGTGAAAATTTTAACTAATAATAAAATTGTACAGATTAGCTTAGTGCAAAATTTTGTAGGTCTACGGTCTGCTGAGGTCTRCTGAATTAATAATTTGTGCAAATATGTGCAATTTCTTACAAATATTTTATGGTAGGCACTCTGATATATTCAATTGACACTAAAGTAATTATATCCTTTTCTTTCGTTTTGGCATTGATAGTTAGTCATTTAATTAGAGAACTTCGTTGCAAGGGCTTAACTAAAATTAATGGGGATTAGTTAGGGTGTTGGATAGCCAGTCATTGATTATAGCCTTTGAGTGGAGATTAGTTAGGGTGTTGGACTTAGAAAATTAAAATCATAAAACTAATAACTAAACCTCTCCTCCCTCTCCCTCTCCCTCTCCCTCTCCCTCTCCCTCTCCCCTTCCCCTACAGGCCTGAAACTCAGGTTAACCAACAAACAGCTGTACTCGCTCAATGAGTCGAGAGGAACAATGCAGGTATGAAAAAATAAACTCAATCAATCAAAAATTGAAAAAATCTACTAAACGACTTTGCTTCCTAACCGCCATTCTTCGAGTAAACATCTTTTAAAATAAGCCACATTGTTTCGTCTATTGTACATTGTCTGGGTTTCCTTTATCACGACCGACCGGATATGACGTCATACCACATTTTCCCAATATTCGACTTTACCGGACGATCAAAAAATTGTTGCAAGTGAATAATTTCGAATGAAGTGAGTTTTAGCGAGCAGCTGCGTTTATAAAAAGAAACAAGACAACGATTCATGGGAATCTATTTTAAAACCTAGCTCGTTTATAATTACATAGGAAAATTCCGCAGTGTGAAAACGGTAGGAAATCCTGATTTGACGTCACTAAATCTTGTTTTTTATAATAAACACGGACAGAAATTTTAGAGAATTTCATAAATTCCTTAATTAAGTCCTTGCTTAACGATTTAAGTTCAAAATCCGGCTGAAATATTAGTTAAAAGTAGCATTGTGTAACGCACTCCTACGACCTAAGCTTATCTTATCCGCCAAGTAATAGATGGCAGGTTAATAGTTCTCTGTTGTGATCATAGCTTGAATATAGAGTGTATGGATCAATGCAAATACCATCTACCAATGCTAATTTATTGAGCGAGTACTACATGGCCTAGATCAGGGAACGTCCACTAACATGAGCTCTCTGGTCAAGGTTTTCTTGCTTTATTTGGTCCAGGGTAAGTCGAGATTGATACTTTATAGCGCAAATCGAATATTATTCATGCAAAATATCGCAAAAAATATTCAAATGAATTATGACAGTGTTAGAAAGTATTTCACGAGATCTCCAGGATTTTCCCCTGCTAAACACGAAACACCCGATTTTATATTTACTCGTTTAGAACGCTTGGATATACACAGGAAAACTGTTTTGGTTTAACCGGTGAATAATTGAATCCCCAGCAAATATTTTTGACCCAAATCTTCACACTTTTGATGTGTGTTTTCGATCAGCTGCTATTCGTTGACAATATTTCAGATACGCAAAAAGCACTTGTCGTTTTAAATAGCACTCAAAAACTAAATAGAAATAATCTATTCAAGCCAATTTCTTAATTCAAATACTAAATATTCATTTTGAATTGTCATGTCAATCGGAAAATGGATTCCCAATAGTAGTAAGCATTCAGTACGATACCAGATTTCGAATATATTTAAGCCTTCTTTTCATTGATTTTATCACCATATAATTTAAAGGCAACTGATAAAAAATATTAGTTAATTTTGGTTATTTTATTGGTTACGTTAGCGGGATGAATGATCATTCTTTGTTTGATATTAAAAATAGATTGTAACTCGAGAAAAATATAGCAGTTTATCTGATATGCAAAAGCTGTTTTCAATGGTTTTTTKKYYTTTTTTTTTTTTGCATTGGTCTAAATTTTTTGCATGTGTTAAGTTGAATTTTGCTGGAACATTCTTCAAAAAAAACTACAGGTTAGACCCCTAGTGCTTCTGTCAAAATAATAACTTGAAAAGGAAATTACAAAAAGCCTTTAATATATATTTATTTCTTAATCAAATTTCCAACTTCAAAATTCGAGTCCTAGTGAATTCATATGTATGTATAAAAAATGGATGGAATGTAATAGGATTTTTCCCATTTTTCCCATACTCTCGTTCTTGTTTGTTGTKAAAACGACCCCGACAAAATTACCAGTTATTCCCCGAAAATATCTAAAGACAACTGTGTGGGCTATAGCTTTTTTCAGCTACAAAAAAAGTCTAAACAGGTACTTCTCTATTTAGCCAATGAAAAAATAAACACAAGAAAGCGTTTAAAATTAAATACGACAAGTAAAACTGCTTGAGAAACTATTTCTATTTGCATATCCATGAATTTTTAATTCAAAGCAAAGTTTTTTCAATGCTAGACTTCAAGCTCACGCAATTATTATAGAGCCTTGTTCAGCCATGAATTTAAAGTTCAAGTTTATTTTGTTCTCTTATTTTTCGATAGCTTTGATTCCCAGGGCTTTGGTATATGGCGTGACCAATGCTGTCACGCTATCATGTCACTCGTCACATATGTCTGTTCAAGTCGATTTGAAATATTTCCAATGGCTCGATCCACAATCGTTGCATTTAAGACACCAATCTTGCAGTTCCAATCGTTATAACAAGACTAGTGCATCATTCGTCGTTCCCCTTGATGGATGTGGCACACGACGAAGGACTCACAAAGACTTATTTATTTACACGAATGCTGTTAGTAACTCCAATCGGAATTCATCGTTCATCAGTCGTGTGCCGTATATACGCATGCCATTTCATTGCATATATCATAGAAGATATTCATTCATGTTGACGACTGGTACTGCCTCGAAAAGAAATATCGCAAAGAAAATCAAGAACCCAGAGAAAAAAGAGATTTTATTTCAAGAAAAAAATGGACGTAAGTCATATAAACTTCTTTACCTTGGGCGTAATGTTTTCCCATCTCAGATCACGTGTCATTCTCTTGAGAATAAAATTCTTTGTTTGAGTTGTATCCATATTCATGTATCTTCTCATGTGCAACCGTTTAACAAAAGAATGATGATACTCAAGGGAATGACACATGGCTTGAAATGAAAAACAACTGACTTCGCAACGTGCTGGTAATAGACTAAACCCTTTGCATTGAGTCCCGAGAGGAATTGTTCTGGGGGACAAAACAATGGATTTCTCTTGTACTACTCTTCCCAGTAGACCGAGGTAGTTGTGATTTTTTAATGGCCTTCGTAGCGTCTGTTATGTTATCCGCAAGTACATTTCAAATCGACCACGTGATGCCGATGTTGTACCACGGGGACAAGTTTTTTACACCACGTGATCAAAATTCAGTCAAGTCTACTGGGAAGAGTAGTATAAGAAAAGACGGACTATTGTTTTTTCCCCAGAACAATTCCTCTCGGGACTCAGTTCAAGGTGTCTATAGCACTTTTCTGAGATAGCGAATATGGTGTATTGTGGTCTATATTTGCTAAAAAGCCATATAAGGCATGTTATAAAATATATATATTCGTACCGAAGCTATACCATAATGCACCATGTTCGCTATCTCAGAAACCGTGCCGTTGCCGTGCGTGATATTACATGCAATTGTTCAGTATCATCTGTTGAACTTGTGTTCTCTAACCTTTATACATTTTCCAAACTTATTCTTCGTCTTTCTTCCTAGAAGATGGAATTTCAGCCGATTCAAACGCAGATTCACTACATCGCATCTCCGTGAGCATTCTCTGGATTACATCAATGGGAACGTTTACACTTTCTGTTTCAACGTTATCATAGAAGAAAACCTAACTACAGGAAAAAACTGGGTCAAGAGGCATTGCAGTGCATTCTGGGGCTGATTTAAGGGACATATTTCTAAGATGGAGGCTATATTTCGGCCCCCAATTAAACAGTCCCACAATGCACTGCAAGGCCAACTCGATCTAGTTTTTTCCTAAACTTTGAATAGCTGCTATCAGTATTTTTTCAATTGTTATTGTTTTGTTGTTTAAAAAAACACATATGGTACTTCTTCAAAATCCTTAACATCATTCCGCGTTTTCAATAACATTTATGCCAAAAGGAGCCAAAGTAGATATTTAATTTTGTCAGTCCTCGGAATTTTTTTCATCCAATTATTTCCAAATTTGACAGCATGTAGTCCTATTACCTATACTAATTCGCGTTCCTAAACTCCGATTCTGTCATCGTTGCTCGTCTTGTACGTTCCGATCTAGCTCGTACCGCTCTGAACGAGTTACATGATTGGATTAAAAAACAATAGATTGGTCTTCCAAACAATAGCACTAAACCTAACCTTACAAAAGCGGTACTGTACTTAGGGAGCAATGAAAATCCAGCTTTCGAGCAGTATACTGGATTACTCCTTGTTCCAAGTGTCGTCAATGAACATCAAACCCCCACCCCTGGGGATGATTTTTTGTCCTCTTAGAGATTTTCTGAATTTAGTTATTTAAATATAAAAATCTTATCTACAAATTCAAGATTCTAAAAAGATTATTGTCTGTAAATTAAATTAGCTAGTTATTTATTAACTATAGGGATAGTCGGGTTTTATAATTATTAGAGATTAAATATTATGTACTAAGACTTATACCCCATTCACACCAAGGCTTAAACATGTTTTAAAGTGGTTTAACTAAACAGGTTTGGAAAACTATCTACGAACACTGCACAATATTTAGTGAAGTAATGCATGTAAGCTATCCTTTATCTTGCTCTGACAATATTTTAGAAAGTTTTATTATATTGTAGGTTTCTAGTTTCTCAATTGTTTTCCTAATGAAAACACAGTTTAACTAAACACGTTTAGGTGTGAATAGGGTATAAATGTTTGGGAATTAAAAGAACTTTGCTACTCTTTTTTGAATGGGAAATTAAATCATCTCATTTTTCTAAAGTTATTGGGAATTTCTTAAATTTTTGGAAATAGTTAACTTGTGCTTCTAACGATTTCATCCAGGATTAGAGGTAAGGTAGAGGAAATCCCAAAGCTCTTGTCTAGATTCTATCACTTTTAAACTTTGGCGGTTTCCTCCTTCAACAGTGTAATCAGTTAGTTCAAAAAAAGCGTCGAAATGATTCTCTCGCCATCCCCTCAGCTGGGAATCACACCCAGTCCTCAAAACTACCACAAACTAAAGCCGTTTGCGTGTGGTAATATTAGTGTACCAGAGCTGGAAATTCAACCTAGTTCGATAAGAAAAAAACCGTAAAAATGTCAAGCCCTCGTTCACAGCAAGTTCAATAAAAAAGTGAACATCAGTAAAATCTGATGGTTTTCCTATATCGTTCTTATATGATGTCCAATGCTGCCATCAAGCATGTGATAAGTTTACTTTTATCTAAAGTGGGCTCCCTGTGGATTAACTCAATAAGATTGACTCGGAGATTGACTGAAAAACAGATGTCGAGTACAAGAAATTTTGCTCTCAAAAGTTATCTAAAATATCAAAAAATAAAACAAGAAAGCTTTTGGTACACGAAGAACCCCATTTTTCTGCGACTTTAAGAAACTCGATAGCAATTTCTTTTTTTTTTTTTTTTTTTTTTTTTTTTTTAAAAAAAAAATCAACAAAACGTAAAAGATAAACATAAACGAGTCTTCAAGATTCTCAACTTAAGTCGCAAGAAACCAAACAGGCTTTAGTAAGTATATAGTGATGAATGCATTAGTACACCACTGAGTTGATTGGGATGGCAAAGGGAAAAGATTATGAAGTATTTTGTGGATATATTTGATCGATCGAACTTTCTAAAAATTTCAACATCCCACCGTTCTATATGATCTGATTGATGACATAAGGAATCTGGGACAAATCTCTTGGGCCAGAAATAAAATACTAGGGCAGTTAAAATGAAACTGAAAAATAAGAAAATAAAAACGCACTTGCAATAGGCGCTTTGCAGCTCAGCAATCACGTGCTGATTAATTGACTGAGAGCAAATGAATGAACATCTTGATTCCCATGGGTGAAATATACTGGTGAGCAAACAAACTTTCTACAACCTGTTTCGAGAGATCGTAATAAAACTGCATTTCGTGACACACTGGTTACACATCGTTTCATTCAGTTCTTTAAAAGCAGCTAAAAAGAATCAACGATTTAAAATAAAATAAAAAAATTTGCCCACTAGGTACAGACACGTGACCGCTAACTGCAAAGGGCCTATTAGGATAAACGGTTATTCGTAATAATTGCCATAGATGTTATACCAGTAAATCAATATTTTGAGTCTAAAACATATACATTTTAAACATTTATATCAAAGTTTTTGATGAATGTGTAATTGGAATTCAATAGCCAATTAGCATCGAGTTTACTGGTTACAATGGCAATTACTTCCCCGCTACGCCACGTGGAGGCTACCGTTCTTCGTAGCGGACACAGACACCGACACAAAGACAGACAGACATAAATACTTGAGACAGCCATAAAATAAGCAAAAGCTTGCTTTATTTCAACTTTATTTTTGCCAACAAACAACCTGTCTAAAACTCAAAACCCATTAGTCGAAGTACGATAACGTAAGGAACCACACCCAAAATCATATGGGGCTAACTTCTACCTGATTATAACCATACTACACTGTCTAAACCTAAACACATGCTTCCGGAAAAAAGGCCGGGGAAAAAGCCGGAAAAAGAAGCCGGAAAAGAGGCGGGGAAAAGGCGGTGATAAAAGAGCCGAAAAAGCAAACTTAAGTCTAACTAGAGGCATCCGAAAAACCTCTAGTATCCTAAACCGTTTGAAGCCATCCAAAAAGACTTCAAAGAAGCTAACTTAGTCTAACTAGAGGCATCCGAAAAACCTCTAGGAACCTAATTTGTTTTGAAGCCATCCGAAAAAAACTTCATAAAATCTAACTTAATCTAACTAGAAGCATCCGAAAAACTTCTAGTATCCTAACTCTAACTTAATCGAAAAATAACGTTTCTTAAGTACGCGGAGATATCCGAAAGATCTGCAGAAAGCCCTAAACTTAAGAGAGAAAATAGAGTTCGGGTTATAAAAACGAAATGTTGTATCGAAGAACGAAAGATAAAGATCGAATGAATCTGAGCCAAATGAAATGCCAATTAGAATCGAAGTTAAATTGAATAAAACTATGTACCGAATCTCACTGAAAAAATATAGCACACACGGGTATAATTTATAGCAATTGAAAACAATGGCAAAACAAAATTTATACCGTTAAAAATGTGCAATATTTACTAGGATGTTAAGAAATTTTGTAGGTTGCATTTTAGTTCAATTATACCCACGTATACTGCAAGAATAATTAAATTTCATAACTCACGTATAACCAAGAACCTGACGTTTGGATGGATGGACGAGTACGTCTTGTTATTCTTGAACTATTCGGTGATGCATTGTCGTGTTGTTAATTGTGAAGAGGGAGCCAAGAAGACGAAAAGGTTCTGTAGTCTTCTGTCTGTCTAGACAAGTCATAGAAAGTATCTTGTCAAAATTAATAGTATTTTTTTAGCAAGTATAAGTTACTGACTTGAGAAGGCTCAAAATGGAGCTAGATTTTTTACCAAGATATTGTAGTTACCCTAAGTTAGATCAGAATGCACTAGTTCAGTAGACCTCTCTGTGCCTGCGTATGTCGAATGGTCGCCGTATTAAGAGCAAGTCTTAGTAGCTTTGGATTAGAGTAGAGGTCACATATACAACAAACAGAGGGCGCAAAAGATGTTACACTTACTTGTTGTATGGCGGTGAAGGATGGAGTCTGCATGAAGCTGGGCTGTGGTACCGTCCAGTGCAGGTTACCTGTGAGATGAATATGAAGGTATTATTGGAATGGATAGAGTGGAACTGTGGTTTTGAGGTCAAGAGGTCAAGAGGTCAAGGGTCACAGAAACAAACAGGGCGTACAACATGCTAGACTTACTCGTTAAATAGAGGGGAAAGGATGACGTCGGCATGAAGCTGGGCTGTGGTACTGTCCAGTGGTTCCCTGTGAGATGAATATGAAGGTATTATTGGAATGGATAGAGTGGAACTGTGGTTTTGAGGTCAAGAGGTCACCGAAACAGAGAGCGCACAAGATAATAGACTTACTTGTTCAGTGGCGGGGAAGGATGAAGTCAGTATGAAGCGCAGCTGTGGTACTGCCTGTCCAGTGCAGGTTCCCTGTGAAATGAATATGAAGGTATTATTGGAATGAATAGAATGAAACTGTGGTTCTGAGGTCAAGAGGTCACAGAAACAAACGAGGGCTTGCAAGATGTTAGACTTACTCGTTAAATGGCGGGGAAGGATGAAGTCGATATGATGCTTGGCTGTGGTAGATACTGTCCAGGGGTTTTCTACGAGATGAATGTGAAGATATTATTAGAATGGATAGAATGATTCTATGATTGTCAAATAGAGCGACTACGAACAACAATAGCAGGAATGACAACTACAACAGCAGCAACAGCAGCAGCAGCAGCAATTACAGCAAAAGAGCAGTAACAACAGCAATAACAACAACAAGAACAAGGACAGCACCAGCAACGACAGCAGCAACGACAGCACTAACAACAGCAGCAGCAACAACAACACTAACAGCAGTAGTAGCAACAACAAAAGCAACACCAGCACTGAACAACAACAATATCAACAACAACAACAGCAACGACAGCAACAACAACAACAGCAACGACAAAGCAACAACAACAACAGCAACGACAGCAACAACAACAACAACGTACAGCACTTACAACAACAGCAGCAACAACAAAAGCAATTAACAGCAGCAACAACAACAGCAACGACAAACAAACAAACAAACCGTAACAACAACATCAATGTTTACTTACATATCCAAAGTAGGCTTAATCTTCAAATTCTCGGCACTCTTCATCATTGGTGCTTGAGACTTACTGAAAGCTAAAAAAAACAGTATTCTAATCTAAGTATGACATCTTTTAATTTAAAGTAGAGATAACTAGCTAAAAACTAGTGTGAGCTGCGTCGGTGTTTCTAATGAAACAGTAATGATAAAAAGGTAAATTATACACCGTGAAAAGATGAAAAAAAACTTACTGACGTTTAATTCATATATGTTTTTAAATGTTCATGCGTCTGAAATAAGCTACAGTACCTGAACTGTTTGAGGATAAATCTTGATAGGGATGGACTGAATCTGGACCTGAAAAACTGGCACACTTCGTTGGAGTCGCGATTTTCAGTCTAAAATGTGAGAAAAACATATCCTAATCTGAGTAAGCATTCATCTTTTTAGTATTTTTATGTTCATTGGTATAAAATAGGAAACAAAAAAACAAAAAACAAAAACAAAAGGAAGAAAAGGACCTGTACTGTTTGAGGACAATACTTGACAGGAATGGACTGAATCTGGACCTGAAAAACACGCTAAAAAAATTGTTAGAAAAGATCACAAAAAAGACTAAAACTAGTTATTCTGCACCGCAATCCGGGTTTGAGTCCCAGCTGCTGCAAATAAACAAGTCACCCTATCAAATGCTGTTTGTACTTGATGTTAAAAGACTCGATAGAGACGGGTTAGAGTCCTGTAAAAACACAACCGTAACTAAAGAATTCGTAATATCTCCGAATTATTGTTCTGTCAGTTGATTTGACTTCAATTAAATATTCCAATTTTTATATTTATAATCTTCYTTGACTTTTCAAGCGAAATTCTAATTCTGTAGCGCAGTTTTCACCTCATCTTGTACATTGAATACTGACCTGTAAAAATATAATAAAAGGTTAGTAAAAAAATTATTTACTTCGGTAAAAAGTTTACGAGTATAGCGTAATCTAGGTTTGAATCCTAGTTGCTCTGTTAGTCGAGCCATTCCATCAAATACACTTTATATTGAAAGTTCTAACGCTCGAGTTTTGGGTTAGAGTCCCATTACAAAACACTACATTTTCTTTTCATTTGTTTTACTTCGACCTGGGCTGGAAAAACAATTCAGTTTTTTATTATGGATCTGTATAATCGTCAGCATTTAGCTCTCCAAGTGTGTAGAAATTAATTGTTCTAAAAGCAAGAAGTTTGGGTTTGAATCCCATTTTTTTTACAAAAAATAAACCTCATTAACCGTATTTATCTTACTTTTTTCAGTAAAAACTCCCAAAACGATTCCATATACCACAAGTCAATATAACCATACTACCTTTAAGATGTATTACTTGGCCTGTGAATAGACTAAAGGCAATTTTAGTTAGTATAAGATGAGAAATTTGAAAGCAAAATCTAGGTTTGACGAGATTTGGGTTTGAATCCCAAATACTTGCATAATCAGAGAG